AGGCTCCTTCCTGATTTCACTCATCGTCGCGGTCTAACAGGTGAAACCCAAGCAAAAACGCCCAACGCATCCAGATGAACCAAATCATATTCACTTCTGGATAGTCTGGGCGGTCAACTCACCTTCTGCTCTGAATAATTTCTCCCACCGCCTGTAGTCCTGCTTCCCGAACTTTTCAAAATTTCCCACAACATTCAACCTTTCCTGACCTCACTTCTTGTTTCCCACAACACCTTCCCCTCCACCCATCCTCCTCAACACCGCGACGTTGCATCACCTCGCATCGCAAAACTCTTCGCACCTTTCCTCTATTGGATCACTTCTCTCATCCTTTTCACTCGACCTTCTTCGAACCGTTGCTCAACCGAGAACCAATCAGTCTGCATCAACCATCCCGACTCAAGACTAGAGTAGTTTGATCCCTCTCCCAGATCTCTCCGTCCGGTCTTCGAGTACTAATCTCATGTAGATCATGTCGTTCAGAAGCAGCCTGATTATTTCCGGCTCTGGAGGCATGGGTAATGGCGAGGCAGCTCCCATCTGCGCCGACCAGAATGCCCTCACCCGAATTCCTGGCCTGATCTTCGAAGTTGGCGACAACGGTCGCATCATCGCGCAGCCGGGCACTCCTCAGCTCAAGCTCCTCACCCAGGGCTACGCGAATGACACTCCCACCCGCGACATGGCCAAGCTCATTGCGCGTCGTGGTGCTGATCTTCTCGCCGCGTACTTCAAGGTCGTCGCTGCTGGCAGCAACGGCAAGAACGCCTTGGTCGACCAGAATCACCACCTGGCCTGGGTCCCCGCTCTGCGAAGCCTGGTCAAGGAGAAGAGATGGGCCGAGTTTCCGGACGTCAAGAATCACCACGTCCAGGCTGTATTGATCGCCATCGGAGACGCTCGCAAGCGCTTCATCGACGAACTCACCGTCACCCCCGCTCCTCCCAACCGCGAGCATTACAAGACCTTTCTCGACCTTGTCGATCGCTTCAATGTCGATCGAATTGGCCCAACGGGCTCCTCTAGCTCCTTTCCGGCTGTTACTGCTGCTCCGGTCGCCCCTGCCCAGTCCGCCCCTACCGTCCCGTCTGCCTTCCAGATCTCGGTGAACCATCTCCAGTCTACTGCAGACCAGATGATCCGGGATGCTTTCGCTGCACTCCAGATCAGCGACCAGCAGATTGATCAGATCAGCAACGGTCTTCAGACCTCGGCGGACCAGCTCCAGGCTGCCGTGACCAAGACAATTCAGGACGCACTCGATGGTTTCGACGCCAAGGACAAGGTCATTGAGACCATCACTCAGCAGACCGATCAGGCCAACAAAGCTGCTCAAATGGCCCAGACTGAGATCACGGCCCTCAGAGCCAAGTATGAGAAGATCGAGGATGAGAAGCAGAAGCTCATGGAGAAGAACGCCGAGGCTACGGCCGCCGCCGTGGTCGCCTCTTTGACCGATACCATCACTGGCGCTGTAACTCATGCTATGGCTGAGATGGAGGCTGCCGAGCAGCACGGTAGCATCTCCGGCCAGGAGATGCTGTTCGCCCACATCGTTGATGACCTCAATGAGCTTGAGGCTCTTCGAGGCGGCGAGGATGTGGAGTGGGCTGCCGATGGCCTTGATGACTACAAGGAGAAGCACAATATCCCTGATTTCTGATTTGTAGACCAAGATGTCTCGATGCCGGTATCTCGTTGGAGGAAGGTGGAAGGGTCACTGTTGTACATGTTGGCACCATCGGACAAAGGAAGGGTTGGGGATTACGGCTCTCAGGCGGTGGACTGGTCTAATTAGAGTATATGGGTGTGATAAGTAGCAAAAGCTCCTAGTCTATCAATACATCTGCCTCTCTCACGGTTTATGACTCAATTACCTCACGCGTCCACCTAAGGATGCCCTATGCAAAACAATAACTACGTGACCATCGTCATCAAACCTTCTTAAGCTCAAACCCACCAGCCTGAACATATCGCGCCGAAGCAAACACCCCCGCCGAAGCAAGAATAGAAAACCCACAAAATAGCTGCAGACCCAGATAATCCCCTCCCCGCGCATCGACAATCGCACTCGCAATCGGACTCCCCGTAAGCGCACCAAATGACTGGAACGCGAAAGCCGTCCCAGTCCTGGCGCCAATCTCTCGAATGTCTGAGATCTGCGCAATCAGCGTCGGACCGATGGACGTCAGCCCCGACGAGAGGAAGCCAAAGGCCGCTGTGAAGACTAGGATGCCGGCGTTGCTCTTGATTGGGATCCAGAGGGCCAGACACGCGATGCCGGTGAGGGTGGCGAGGATAATCATGATGTTGTAGCGGCCTATTTTGTCGGCTACGAGGCCTGGGATGACGCGCCCGATCAAGCTGGTTGGGAAGTCAGTGAGTATTCTTTGAGTTGGTGCAGATGGGCCTTTGAGACGTACCCTACGGCATGCATGATGGGCAGCAAGTAGATGACCAAACCGTCGTCCATACCCTGCGCCTTGGCTTGCAAGATAACAAAGGCGTAGGGAACAAATAGGCCCCAGAAGACTAAGAATAGACCGAAGACAGTAGACATCATTGTAGGTTCCCGAATGCCCCGGAAGTACTCCTTCATGTCCACGGGCTTCGTCTGAGGTGCCAGGCGGGACCTTACGGTGAAGCACGCGATTGCCAGAAGAGAGAGAAACATGAAGCCAACGGCACGCATCGCCCACGGGAACCCGACACTCTCAATCATTCGCGGGATCATGATTGGCAAAATGACGCCACCGACAGAGGACCCAGACATCATGATGCCGAAAGCAGTTGCACGACGACGATGGAACCATGTTACGAGGCACGACATGCTCGCGCTCGTTACAGCGCTGGCGCCGATGGGACAGACGATGCTTTGGGCGAGGAAGAAGTGGAAGTACTCGGACCCAAGGGAGACCATCATTATGCCAAAGACGTAGGTTATAGATCCACAGATAAGAAGCCACCGTGGACCCCATTTATCAAACGCAAATCCCCACTGCGTTAGTTGTCAGTGGATCACGAGTGATTCGGGTCGGAGGAGTATTGGACATACGACGATGGGCATGAAGTTCAAAGTCCATTGCATAAAGCTGGTAATCCATGATATGGTGGATGAACTGTATTCGCGAAGGGCATCGGTCACATAGTACGTTTGAAAGACGCCAATGCTGTTTCCCAAGCCAAAAGTACAGAACAGAACGCACCAAGCCCCGAAGAGTACAATGAGAGCCTGCCTCCCACCTTCGGGGTAGTCATCCGGATTCGCACCGGTGTCAGCTACGGATGTCGTTGTCGAGAGACCCTGCGTGGTGGCCGCCATCCGCTCGGGGAAGTTCTCCAGATCCGTGCGGGGGTGGGATGCGCAGGAAATGCGCCTTTCCTCGAACCGGTCTGGTTGGTGGGGGTCGGAAGCATTCTGGCGGGTCTCGGGCCCTGGCTCCGAAGAAGCCGCTTTCTCCATCTGCAGTTTGGACGCGAGAACGCGGGGGCAAGACTTCGGAAAACGTCTATGCGTAAAGATACTGCAGTTTGCCCCAAAAAGCCGGCGGGATGGGGAAGCATCGTTTGCTTGCTCCCAGCTCTAATTCTGGCACACGAAACCTTAAGTATTCAAGCAAGAGAGCGGAATCCGGAGAAGATTGTGGATACATGTTGTGGGGGGTCTGGGGATGACGATCCTCTTTGCAATCTTGCCATGCAAACTATTACCTAACGTATTGTTGGTTCGGTGGTTGTTGGGGTGAACGTATTTCCACCATTCACAGTGTGGAAACGAGGCCTTGGGAGGCGTCTACTACTAGGGATGACGTGATTGCGCGGCATTGAGGATTGACAAACACAGGATTCTGCAGGATATGATAAAGAATTGAATAGTTCCGTCGCCTTGGGTCCTAATGTCGCGATTGGGATGATGCGTGGTTTGTACTCGGTCTTTACATTTAGCTTGGCAGTTGGGCCGTATGTTTGGGAAGCCCACTAGTATTCCTGATGCTGATGGTTTACTTGGGGTTGGAACAAGATGTACCTCTCCCCTCATCCACCTGCACAATCTTCAGTTAGCACTTTGCTTCTGAAGCGGGTATAATTAGTCAAGATGTCCGGCGCTGTTAAGTAGGGATTCAAGACACTTGTGAGATGGAGGAAGATGTAACTAAACGACAGCCAACTTGCCGACATCGAGCTGCTGTTCGCCTTGTTGACTGTTGATGCGTCCATGCTAGCTAAGGGTCATCGCAGAATCTGCCCAGGAATCCGGAAGCACCTCTAAAATGCCGACGCCATGTTGACGACTATCTCTCTCTAATGATAATAAAAGTTGTATATATTGTGCCGTTGACGGAAGCGCAGACTCAAGGTAAAGACCCAAAGAGTTGCACCTCCAACCGTAAATTACCACGAGGAAGGCCTCTCCCAGCTTGACGGCGTGCCTTCCAAAGCCAACCTGACCCAAATTTCCTGTGCGTAGGCAGAGTGGGGCGATTCTGAATAGAATATTTCTGGGAGTATTCAGGAGTCATATTCTAGATGGTTTGAGCCCTACCCCTAGCACACTCTTAACGCCCCGGGTCCTCTTTTATAATATTCACCTTTGCGTGAGCCTCTTTACATTTTACACTGCTACAAACTCTGACTACATCAAGGCCTTCCAGCATCTTTTCCACCTTGGCACGAACGTAACTTATTCTTCTTGCATCACAAGCTCGAGCGTCACCATCCCTTCTAGCGTTCATCTCTGCTGCGTAATAATTTCTCCGCGCAGAACGAACTTTCCATCCAAGCACCTTCATCTTGCTCCATCTCAGCTTCTGCGCGAACGTCGCTTCCTTCGACCGGTCAGAGCAACTTTCTGCACGACAGCATCGATCAGCAAGTCCATCCTACACCTCGACATTATTCGTTAACAAACTTTGGGTAAGACAGCCCTGCCAGATGAAATCACAATTGTCGCCATCCTAGACTAACTTTGATGTGAAGACATTAGACAAACTCGCGACAACATGTCTCCCAACGCGACTGCCGCGGACCTCGCCGCCACCCACAAGATGGATCCTGAGGAGAACAACCAGCCGGGCCCTACCACTGGCAGCGCCATTGCTACCCCTTCCGCTGCCTCTTCGGCTGCTGCTGCTGCTGCTGCCCAGTGTTTATCCCCAGGTGACTACTCTGTCCTCGAGGAGGCGGAAAAGGCGAAGGAGGTTCATAGACTTCATAGCCTGATCCAGGAGCAGCGCCGAGCCCAGCTCGAGGAGACGAAGCGTCTGAAGGAACAGGACCGAGCTGAGAAAGAGGAGAAGGAGCGCCTAGAGAAGGCGAAGGCGGCCCAGGAGGTCAAGGACAAGGAGCAGAAGGCTCGCATCGAGCGAGCCATTCAGGCCACTCCTGAGGAGCGTGCGGCCTACGAAACGGCCATGAACAATGTGGAGGACAGAAGAAACAGAGAGCGCTACCGGGCTAATACGATGGCCAGCATCAATGGCTATCTCAAGCGCCAGGGTATAAAGCGCAGATGATGAGATATCATGGGAGGCTTTCACGAATACGTATTTGCTTTTCAGGGAGTAAGGAGCCAATGGCGGTCTGCTTATCGTCGAGGCAGTCAGAGGTTCTCTTTGAGGATGCAGGCAAAATATGAGGCACCTTCGATTAGCCAAGATACAAACTTGCACATAGCAAGCATAGAAAGAGGAATTCATGTGAAGGGAGTGTGTGTCTTTGGTGCTTCTGCACTTTACCGAGATTCATCACAACCGAGGTAGATCATAGAGAAAGAGACACCTCTATTCCTTCCTCTAATCTTGAATCAGGGCCTGACCGGGAACATCCCACTCATCTTGCATTGCTGACCATGATCCTGAGAACTTCGTCTTTTCCACTGACGGCTTGCTGTTACCGCTGACAATTCAATCAAAAGACCAAGAGAAGACAGAGACTCATATGACCATCCTGTACAATGCAAAGAAATAAGTCTCATTATTTGTCGTTGGGATGGCATCCTTCTAGAACGTCTCTCAGAGACGAAGCGAGAGTAAAATTCCTAAGAGGCAAAGAGTCAAGACCTCTTCTAATTACCCTTCTAGTCCCAAGACCATCGCATGATATCGCACCCAATCTACAGGCCTCTGTTTCCACCATCTAGTACCTACCAGCAGAAATGTCCTTACGCATCCAAGCCTCTTGTACAGCTGTCCACGCCTATCCCGCTGTAGTCTTGATAAGATGCATTGCAGCCAGATGATTATTGGCCTCAAATTACAACAGGTTAGAGAAAGCCGAAGCATCCTGCTCATGAGATGCGATTCATTGGTCAAATGCTCTGAGAAGGCAGGAATTACGGTGATCAGACAGCTGCAAAAACATCGGTTTCGTCTTGTTGGAAAGTTACTCCTTCTGGCCGCGGGCATACCTTTCAATGAGATTACCCAATCTGTTGTTGCTGACCTTGACCTCTCAAGCTGGGGCCCGGTGCAGAATTTGCGAATGAGTTGAATCTATATAAGAGACACAGACAAGGTCGCTGAATGAAGTAAAAGAAGATGAATGTAGCAAATATCTCATATGGTGAGACCAAATTACCTTTTCTTCATGCCTGAGGGGTACAATTCATTTATTAGTAGTAACTAGAGTGATACATGTAGCAGTGTCTAGTGTAAGAAATCGGCAAGATGTAACTAAGACTATGTCTTTGTCTATGATGGAACCGTGGCTGTCAAAGCAATGATGGCTTCTGGGTTCATCATTGAAGTCGTAGGAGCCATCAGAGCCGGAGGTGCAGGTGGTGGGTGAACGGACCCGACATCCTGATGACGTTGGTATCTTCTAACCCGATAGCCGTTCATCCATCAATACTTCGCCTCAAACTGCAGCATGTCGGTGATAGAGGACTTGTCTGCCTTGAACGTAATGTATCGATCGATTGACTTGAGGAGTCGGCAGTTCTGGAGATCAGCCAAGCATGGGAGCTTCGAGACTGATAGATTCTCAAGGTAGTTCATCCGCGCATTGGGGAACAGCTGAACAAAGTCTCAGATCTTATGAGCAGTGACCTCTGTCTTCCGCAAAGGGTTCTCCTTGGAAAGGAGCCGTTGTACTTTGTTCCAATACTGACGCCAGTCCATGACCGTGTCTTTGTTCGCATAAAGAACTCCAAAGACGATGGAGAACAGGTGCTCAACTCTGTAGCAGACACAGGACGGCATGTCGGTAGGCTCAATACGCAGGGCTGGTGGGCTGGGGAAGAGTAGGTCCTGATTGAGACCGAAGACAGTGACAGAACCTTAGTTCTGCTCATTGATGATGACTTCAGGTACTTCTGGATTCGAAGAAGGCTTGGGTCGATATGAGCGCCCTTGGCGCTTTTTTGGGGGCCCGGTAATTTTCTAATGATCAAGGAGATTGATCGATCAAGGCAGTATTAGTAATTTTTGGTCGAAATGAGCCCGACGAGGTAGACTTACAGCTGGAGAAGGCCTGAACGGCAGAGAGAACTCGCGACTGGATTCTCGGCTCGGAATAGGGATATCTTCGGACTTAATGCCAGGCGGCAGGGACACAAGATCGTTCATCTGATAGATATTTGGTGAGTAGAAGAATTACAGTGTTAGGTAGACTACCGTACCTTGAACGTGCTGGGCTGTTGACGTAGGCCCATGGCCTCAGCGCGCATATTTTGGTATTCCTGAAAAGTGAGTCGAGAAGAATGCTGTGAAGTTCGGTCTGAAAGAACTTTTATAAATAAAAGAGAAGGATTTCTGCGTCTTTCACGACCGCAGTAAGGAGTGGTGTGAAAAGCGAATGAGTGAGTGAGTGAGGGCAACAACAACTCGTAAGCACGGGCCCTCATGATGGGATCAACAGCTTCACTGTTCACTAACTGGGAAGGAGCTGAGTGCCTGGATAATATATCACACCTTCCCTCCAGCAGTTCATCAACAGAGTCCGCATTCTTTCCCCTTTAACTTAGTAACGAAGATTCAACTGAGGTGGAAACGCACAGAAAAGCTGCCTCCTTTTCACTGGAGCCAAGGCTTGGAATACCTCAACAACCAGCTGCGTCCCTACAGATCAACCTTGGCTCAACTTCCTCCACAATCTACCTACTATACCGTGCCATCTTATCACTGACCTGGAGAATAGATTGGAGGTCTGTTGGATTGAAGCGACATACATGAGCGTTTTCAGATCATTGGCGACTCAATAGACGGTTCAAGAGGGACATGAGGAAGATCAGTTGCCCTGATATCTGTCACTTAGAAACATGATGTTAATCATTTGTTGAACAGGAAACGTTTAAACAAGTTGTCTGCAACGGTTTGTCCCAAAATTCCAAAGGGTCAAATATCGCACTGGGAAGAGTTCGACAAACTGTCCAGAAACAGGCCTGTCGCTCCGGCTGTCTGATTACAAAGTGCATCACCCTGGCGGGAGTCACTGCAATGGCATCGGAAGCGACCCACGCCAAGCTCACCTTCCATCTGAGTACGGAAGACAGTCTCGCGAGACCTATCTAATAAAGAGTCCCGGAATGCCTAACACGGAGTTTACGGAGGCTGATCGAATACTCCGGGCGGCCTTTCCCTTGAGATCAAGGCTGTCAGAACTCCATTGCCCGGGAGCGTGCACCGATCACAAATACAAGAGTCAGACTCAACCTTGACACCCCAAATCTATGACTCCCGTATTCGGAAGCCCGACCCTATTCAGCTTCAGTGTTTTGGCACCTGCGTTCTTTTCTTGCCCAACGAGACCGGACGACGGCCGACTCGGAGCCCGCGAGCCAGAGATGTAGAACGGCGGCTCCGGGCTTCTTTAGATCTTCTGAGAGTAGGAATGGGCAGCAAAAGTCTTTTGGCTTCGTTTTCGCTGTTCGGTGATGCTTAGACTCAGTTCAATCGCGCTAGCGCTGTTCGTCTGAGACGTTCGAGACGAATGTTCCACTCGTCCGATACCCCACGAGAGAACGAAGGAGCTCATGCACTGCGCTGCGCCAACGGCCAGAAACCGTTCCTCATGGCACGAGCACAAAGGACCAAACCATTCTTGTCAGAATCTGCCGCCGCAATGAGTCGTCTGGAAGCTCTAACGGAAGTCGTCCAAATTGGCCCTTAACAAAAGACATAATGGGCAAAACAGAACAAAAACCTTCGGTGCTTCCCACACCACGTACCGATCATCTCGTTTCGACAACACCCTCGAATCGAAGCAACGAAGACTTGATCTGGAAGATGGGTGGACCCCTGCAGCGTGACAACCTCTCAGACTCGGGATTTGACTACTTCAAAGGTCATCCCCAGTTGTCGGAAAGTCCAAGGAGATCGCGTACGTGATCTCCCGATTGGCTTCAGCCTTCCGCTTCCGAAATGCAACCATTGAGAAGCTCTGCCACGGCTAACGGGAGTTTCCTAAGTTATATGTGACACCACCATTATCTGCCATGTCGAATTAGTCTTCTCCCCTTACCCATATGTCATTAACCTCGATACCACCGTACAAGAAGGTCCAACATTGAGTAAGAAGGAGAATACGACGTATCGACCATTTCCATTCCAGAAACATGACATCACGCATCACCGTTACGCTCAATTGTAGCAAAAGGCCCGCTAACTGCCGATGGCACGGACATTGGTTACAAACGCTCAAGTTAAGCTTTCCTAAGCTTTTCTTCAGTCCAGACACAAGCGCCAACCTTCTTGGCAGCCTCACTCGCCAGGCCAGGCGCACCACACCAACTTCCACACCGTTGCCCATCCTTGCTGTATTTAGAGTTGGGGAATCTGTGTCATCCGATCAGATCCCAACTCAAGATGCAAGGTTGCATTATTCCGCAGCAAGAGGCGAAGAGAGAAGTGCAGCAACATAAAGCTTTTGGGTGGGAAGCACTTTATCATCCGAGGACTTGTGCGTTCCTGTTCCTGATCGTCGAGGATGCACATCTCTCCCTCCCGCATGACACCTTCAACCAGACTGTCAACATCTCACCGGTCACCATCAAGATGATGGGCGACTCAGAGGCCGCCGCGGCCGTCGCGGCCGGTCGTGTACCACCGGAAATCAGCCTCGCATACTTGGAGGAAGACAGAGACGGGCCTTCGATGGATGCTTCAATCTTTATGTTCGCCATAACGTTGGTAATCGTCAACGGTCGCGCCTTTTCGCGATTCTTCTTACGGAAAAGCTTTGGAATAGATGACACATTAGCAGTGATATCTATGGTAAGCTAGCCGGGCAGGTCTCACGGAGAGAGTATTGAAGCTGACAACGGCGTTAGGCAATGTTCATAGCCTTCGTCCCACTGTGCATCATCCTCATCAACATCGGCTCTGGTCGACATTTTGAATTCATCCAATTCGTCATGACCCAAGATATTCTGGAAGAGACAGAGATCCTCGACTTCACCGCCCACCTGATCTACACAAGCGCGCTCTTCGTTTGTCGGTTTTCGGGTCTAGCGTTTTATTACCGAGTGTGCGGCGTCCACAGCCGATTCCTCCTCGCAATCAAGGGAGCCGGACTATTCCTGATCGCCGGCTACATCACACAGATGCTTCTCATCATCTTCCACTGTCTTCCCGTGACAGCGATATGGCCCTACGAATGGCAGTCACAATTCAACCAGTACAAATGCCTTCCATGGGGTTTTGTCTACGGAATTAACTCGGCAGTTTCATTGCTTTGCGACTTTGTTCTTTTCGGAATACCCGTAGCGATGTTATGGATGTTGGAAATGACAAGAAAGAGGAAGATTCAGCTTGCTTGCATTCTGCTGCCCGGAATTTTGTGAGTAGTGGCTAGCTGGCCCTTCAACCGTACACTTACTGACTACTCATAGTGTTGTCGCTATTTCAATCGCCCGTCTCATTTTAGTTATCAACGGTCAATGGCAACCAGACCAGTCATGGATCTACAGCCCGCTTCTCGCCATTGAAGTATCCGAAATCGGTGCGACGCTCATCGCACTCTCCATCCCAGGATTCAGGCCGTTGGCAGAAGAGCTTTTCAACAGAGTAGTCGCAAAGCTAAGGCAGTGGTTCCCCAAATTATTCAACAAGCGCCGGCGGAATTCCACGGTGCACCCCGACTTATGGTACGAAACACCACCATGGCAACAAGACGGGACACCGATGACGGGAGACTTCAAAGCAAAGGACCTTGAAAGAGTCGTTGGGTTAGAGCTGAAGGAAATTCGGAGCCCCGACAAGTCTCACCCAAGCCCTATCGACAAGTACGCGCAATCCAGTAAAGGCAAGGCAAGACCTGAAAGCACGAACATCTGGATGTTTGAAGACCCGGTCAAGGACAAGGATCGGATGTGATCTTGACCACGAAAACGAACACGTCGAATGCCTGTTTGGCTCATCTCATATTGAACGGACAATTGGTTGGGGAGAAGGGGACGGGCTCTGCGAGTCAAACACGATCACAACACTAACAACCCCAGCACACGAATAGGCACCGGAAAGTAAAGTAGACAGACAGTCAGGCGCAAGCACACTACTGCGTCATGTATACGATGAATTATGAAATACCATTATCATTGATAACATTCCATGTTCCTGCCAAGCTGTGTCACGATATTATAATCGACGAACCGTCTGGGGTAGCCAAAAATCGCCTGGCAAGTGGCAATTTTGCGCGACTGGGCAGTTCTTCCGGAAGAACAAAATAAACTCAGCCAATCGCTTGCCATGCCGACAGTCAGCATCCCAAGAAGACCAGACACCTCAAAACGAACAAAAAGACACTTTCGATGGTGAAAGCTGAAGCCCAACTTTCAAGATCGACGCGCCAAATGTCGACGGGCTTGTAGGGGCCAAGATGAGCAGAGTTCCGTTCTCACACACGCGCCCACACAACTCCCTTCAGCTTCGGAGGCAGGCACTGCAAGGTAACGGAATCATCGTATTGGGAAGCACTATAGCCGCGGATAAGGGGTCAGAAGGAAGAGCAGACTTTCGGTCTTATTCGCCAAGCTGCGTTACGGATATTTGAGTAGAAGCTTGCTGGGCGGCTTCCCCCTTGGAGATCTTGCAGGGTGAACCCAACCGCCAGAGACCACAAATTTGACTAGCGGGGCCTTACGAAAGCTTATTTCGACGATGGTGGTTGTGCGCGGGTCTCTCCGCGTTTTCCTCGCTGGACTGCATATTGGAGCTGGGACAATCCCTTCTATCCGGCTTGCATGTGTTCCCCGAATCGAACATTTCTCCGTCCATCTGTCACGTCCACGTCTACATTCGTCCCCTTTGACCGTCCACCCCGTCCACCCCATTCCATCCAAAGATTTTCCGGCGTCATCCAGTTACCCGCCATACGCCGAGTCGTCAACGGTGTTGCAGAATTGGAAGACTGATGTGGTTTACTCATCAGTCAGTAGGCGCATCCCATCTCGATGGACTTGCTTGACGGACACGAGTGCGTGCGGTGTCTCGCCTGGAGTCGTGGGAGATGCCGCGGAAAGACGCACGCGCGGCGGAGCTCGGACTGGGTCATGCGGAAGGGAAATGGAATGTCTTTGCACACTTTGGCACATTGCTCTTCATAACCCACTAATCCCGTAGATATGCCCGTGGCAACCTACCCAGGTGGAAGATCCCCCCTTCGATGGGCAGAAGATGTCCAAGCGGATGCGCCAAGTTTCGAGAGTCATTAAATTGCAAAAGGTTCTCC